TGGAAACACTTCCATTAATTACGAGAAAGCGTTTGATCGAGTACAGAACGTCAAGATGATGCAAATTAGAAATTTTTACTGGAATCTGACAGCAAATCTAAGAGTTGAAGCTGAACACACTGACTATGTGAAAATCACACGTGGAATAAGGCAAGGCTGTATTTTGTCTCCTCTAATCTTCAATCTGTACTCTGACAGAATATTTATTAAAGCTTTGCACGAAACTGAAAAAGGTATTCTGCTAAATGGTTACCGGCTAATCAACATCAGATATGCAGATGACACCATAGTATTTGCGGACAACTTAGAAGACCTACAAGTTCTTATGAACAAAAACGCGTATTACAGTCAAATATGGACTCAATATAAACGTTAAGAAGACACATCTTATAATAATTAGCAAGAAAATGATAACAAAAGGTCAACTCTACGTCATCCAATCCCTTGTAGAAAGAATGACGCACTACAATCACCTCAGCACCATAATAACTGAAGAATGGACCAACAACCAGGAGATAAGAGCACGCATCGAAAAAGCTAGATCCACCTTGAATCGGATGGGGGCCTTCTTCGGGAGTCTCAACCTCTCTCTTGATACAAAAGTAAGAATGCTGCGATGCTACGTCTTCTATGTCCTTTTTTTATGGTGTTAAATAGTGGATCTTAAACGACGATATGTGCAGAAAACTGGAAGCATTTGAGATGTGACTATATCGGAAAATCCTTCCCAAGAAGATCCCGTGGACTGACCGAGTCACAAATGAGGAGGTCCTCAGAAGAATGAATAAGAACCGAGAGGTACTGACTACCATCAAATCTTGAAAGTTACAATTCTTTGGACACATCATGCGAAATGAATCCAGATATGCTTTCCTTCAAGCCATTCTGCAAGGAAAAATATTTGGAAAGCAAGGTCCAGGAAGAAGAAGAACATCTTGGTTAAAGAACCTCAGACTCTGAGGTTCTTTATGGTTCAATATAACATCTGTGCAGCTTTTCCGCGCTGCTGCAGATAAGATAAATATTGCCTTGATGATCGCCAACATTCGTAACGGATAGGCCCATTAAGAAGAAAAAGAAACACTTTCACAAATGAGAAGAAAAGGTACATAAAGTGAACAAAGTACTTCTGCAGAATCTATAAATAAATATTCAGATAAAGGGATCAAAATTTTAGTTCCTATACGTTTTTTCAAATACCAAAATATTAGTTCGAAAGTGATGATTCTTCTTCCATCCACTCCCAAGATTAAAACTAAAATGATTCAATGAAAAAATCCATTATTTCACGAGCCCAAAAGCTAATGGTTAACATGTTTGATGGTCCTTGTAATAAAGGCGATGCTACACCGAAAACTATTGAAAAGAAAAATGAACAGCCCAAACGACTCCAAATGAAAATGAAAAAAGAATCTTCAAGGAGTGAAATTGTTGATCCGTCACTACAGTCTACAAGTGGCACAATTAAAAATACAAGTGCTATTATCTGACAACAGCTTATATGCTGACAACATATCATCAATATATTCTCCTAATTTTAAATATATGTAAAACTGTGAGTTTGGTTAACTACGCTATGAACGTAATAATTCTGTAGTATTAAATAATTAAAGAACTCTCAATAAAATACACTAATGAAAAAAAAAACTAATAATTCAAATTGCTACTAACTTTGTTGTTAGGTATATGCACAAATTTTGTGGTGAGATTCATAAAAATGCAGAAAGTTTATTCATCAAAGACATTATTTTTACATGAATCTATTTTGCTATCTTATTGAGTTGAGATTTTACGTCGAAGTCAATGTCTACATTCACATAATGTAAATATATAAGCCAACATAATTACATAATTACTTTTCTATTATTTTATTGTAAGGCCAATGTAAGTCAATAAAATAGGACGCACACGCTTTCTTAAATTGTTGGTCAGCGTAAGCGATCAGGTCTAGATCTTTAGCGTATGCCACAACGTTCATAGATTTATTAAAAGGTAGTCCCACTGTTGTTTAGAGATGACTGTCAAAAGGTGCACCTATTCTTTTGAACCGAGTTCGCTGCCGTGACACAGTGGAACCAATTCCTTCGAATCATCTTTTGGAACTCGTACTCGGAATATTCGGATTCGTTCGGCAACGGCCGAGCGGCATAGTCGGAATCGGAACGGAATTTGGAACTCGACTGGGTGTAATAACTGAATAGTGAATCGATTATAGCTTGGCCCTGTTGCTGAACTGGTTCGTTATATGCTCTAATTCGAGATGGTAAAATTCGGTTGGTATCGGTCACTCGTAGCAGTTAGGGAATGGGCAAGGATGTTATTTGAGCAAGTTTGTTTTTTTTTATGATAATTAATGTGGTGTCAGATTACACTGCAAGGTGTCAAAAAAATAAATAGCTATTAAAAAATAAATTATTTGATAAAAATAGTTTTATTACAATATTAAGTATAAAAAAAAACAAATACGCAAAATGATATTTATAGGCTAGAATGTCTAGAATTTAAAAAGTCATTTTTAATATGAAAAAATAATAATTTTTCGACTTTTTGAGTACTTCAAAACTTGTTCAGCTGTCGAAAATAGACGTTTGCATGGAACAGATGTGACTAAAGCAAACTTGTTTCTTACAAGTGAACCTAAAGTGGGATAATTATGTCGATTGGTTTTCCCTCAAAGAAGGGAATCTTCGTCTTTATTTAAGATATTTATCTTCTTCAATATAACGCTGCACTTCAATGATAGCTTGATGAATGAACTGATCCCTGTCCCTACCGGTTGTTTTTTTTTTAGATATTTTGTTATCTAAAAAGACCAAAGCGACTATTTGCTTCTCGTTGATTCACTGCTAGTAGTCGGTTGTTTTTCCATTCTGTCTGCGGTGGAGCCCTAATTTGTGCAACGAGATCTGCTGCCATATTTTTCACTTTTTTCTTTATCTGATCTGCAGCTACAGCGCTTTGAAATGGTAGAAGGTTGAAACGTGGATCTAAAAACGTAGGTATTGGCAGCCAGCGTAACATTTTTTAATTTTGTTTGGAGTTTCTAGTATTTGGAGGTCATTTTTTAGTTTACCAATAACTTGGTTTGATCAATCTGATTTCAGTTCGCCAGAAGTAATCATTTCCTCCATTACATTTATTAGACCTCCAGTAAATACAATTACTAATGACGCCGATATGTATTTTCCCCCACTAACTGATGAAGTCACAGTTTCAAAAGAGCGTAAAATGTCTACCAAATTTTTTAGCAAGCCCCATTCTTCTCACGTTATTATAGGTAACGAAATGTTTAAGAGAGCAATTGTCGATCGTATTGCCTCCTCCAATTCCACAAATCGCTGTAACATGGCAAAGGTGTAATTCCACCTTGTAGAAACGTCTTACAATTTTTTTTTGGGCAACTAGTTCCTAAATTTTTTTGATACTGCAATAATTTATCATTAGCTGCTGAACTTTTTTTAATGTGGGTCACTATTAATTTTACTTTGGTGATGATCGGCTCAACTAGTTTTAAAGCATCTTGCACAATTAAATTTAAACTATGTACAAAACAGCCAAGATGCTTCATTCAAGTCTTCTACTGCTTTTTTAATATCCGCCGCATTGTCGGAAATTATGAGGGATACCTTATTTATTAGTGACCATTCTTCTATAATAGTTTGCAATGCTCTTGATAAATTAATGCTAGTATGTCGTTCATTAAGTTGGTGGCATTTTAGTAACATTTGTCGGACGTTAAATAATTTATCTACAAGATGCATTGTTACTGCCAAAAAGCTTTCACCATTTATAGAAGTGCAATAGTCTGTTGTCAAAGAAACACTGGATATTTCCTCTTCTTGAACAAATTATTTCCTGGGAATTACCGGTCGTGCGACAGCCCTCGGCCATCTATTAGTGTACATAATTATATGGTATTTATTTAATAACTACAACAAGCAATTGTAACACTTCGTAAAGAATAAAAATAGTTTGGGTTCATATTTTTAATATATCTAACATAAAATTAAAGTAACAATAATGGCTACAAACATGATAGTTTTTGTAAGTCCATATTACAACAGTAAATACTGCAAAGTGTATACGTCTTCTCTACCTTTCTTCCGTAACTAGAATATATTTAAGAGACATTCTTTACTTTTCTGTATACTTTAAACCATAGAAAGATATTGTACTTTTCAAAGCGTAAAGCGCGAAAAATTGAGATTGATCTGAGAAAAGTCGAACGTGATTTAGTTACAATTTGTTGTCAAAACCTGTTAAGGTTACCAGGTGCACCTGCAAAAATGAACCGAGTCTACAGTCGGAATCGGAGTCATTGCACCTGATCCCTTGATGGAACTGACTTTGTCATCTCTACTGTTGTTTATTGTGTAACTCGGCATCTCCCACAGTCTTCTCCAGTGCTTATAGTACATAGAATGCACACCAGAGTATGGAAGTAAAGTATCCCTGTTCTAACCCGTGTTTCGTGTTTCGTGTAACGTGTTTCAAATACTTTTCCTGCGTTCCAGAGACTGAAATAAAGTATTGGAAAACTAGGTCAGAAATTATTCCATGCACGAATAATTTCTTAGTATTGGAAGTTGAATTACATTTTTAAATACACAAACGTTGGACGACAAGATATTTTGTAAAATTAAAATAAAAAAAGAATTTTAAATAAATCCAACAAAGCATGCCCCCGTAAATTTCTAAAGTATAAATAAAATTCCATAGATATTTTTTAAGTTTATTCATAAATAATTGATTAAAAAATATGTTAAACCCATTTAATAAAATTAACGTGTATTCTTCCAAATAACATTATTGGAATATTGAAATTATATACTGGACGGTAACATGCGCGTTGCAAGCATCGCTTATTCGATCGTCAGTATTTTCCATCCGAGCCGGAGTAGTTCTCCATTTTGAAGCGAGCCTGAATGCGTATATTGGCGAAGACCATTTTTATTTTCAGTTGGCCAAACTGAATTAACGTCAATTTCAACGTCACCCGCCGTGCTGTCACCTTTAGTTTGTTGTTAATTTAAGAAGCTTTAGTTAATATTTTAGTTATTTTAAGCACCTACTAACATTTAGTAAATAAAAATGTCAACGGTAAGGCGTTCTGCTATTTGGAACGTTTTTACGGAAACTCACAAATCGGATTTTATAGCTACTTGTAATATATGCTCGCAAGAATTTTCATACAGATCAACGACCACAAATTTAATGAAACATCTTCAAAGGAAGCATCCTAATATTAGTGTCGATTTAAGTTCTTCACACGTTAAAGTGAAAGATGGGTAAGTTTTTGAATAATACTGTTTGAGCCATTTCGGTAAATTTATATATAAAGTATTACATCGTTTTAATCATGTATTTTTATCTTATGCTGTCTTAACTGGCAAATTCTCTACAAAAAGTAATAAAACAGTGGAATTCAGTATAAACCAATAGTGATACAAATACCTAGTTATTTTTAAAGATTTATTACAGGCTTATAACTTATTTTTGTCTTTACTATATAGCCATTTGTTTCGCTATTTAAATATTGCTAAATCTAAAGATATTTTTTCTTTTTGTATTCAAATTTTCACATAATACATAAAAACATAAAAAGGTGAAATACTGTTAAGAAAGTAAAATTATCTAAAATACCACATACTTTTGATTAGATATGACAAAAACAATTTCCTTAATGTTTTGAAGGTGGAAATGAGTACAAGTTTGACAATTTTTATCCAAACTTAGTTGAAACATGTTTGAATATTAAAAGAATATTTAATGAATATTATATTCAATTTATACTACTTTTTGAAGAGTATTAATAAACCAAAAGCCCTACATAGCATTGAAATAATAAAGAGGTTCTGAAACTGTTTGTTGTGGTATATTCAAGTTAAATTAAAAATTACATTTTATGTTTGTTTTTGACATTTCAATTTCCACTCCAGAAACAGTTTTCAAAAAGAGAGGTTCTTTAAAGTAAGGATTCATTCATTTATTAACATTAATATATATTAAGTAAATTCATATCATTCTGTGGTATTTTAATACAATTTACTGTTTTTACTGAGAATAAGCCACAATTTTACATTAAAATAAGTTTATTTTTGATGTTTCGATTTCCGATTCAGAAGTGTTATTTGAATCATGTAACAAACTTATTTTATAAAGTAAAATTGTGGCTTATTCCCAGCAAAAGTAGTAAATTGTATAAGGAGTTGTTATAACCTATAAGTAGTTGTTATAATTATGGTTATGTTATAGTTAGACCAATTAATTAACAACTATATGTTATAACAGCAACTTCTTATTCTAAATTATTCCCTATTTGGAAAACAATTTCCGGAGTGCAAATGGAAATACAATATTTAAATTGTAATAATACTTTTTTTGAAATTTCCATGTATATTTAAACTGTGTTGTTTTTAAATTTATATGTTTAGCTGTCATAAGATTTGCCAGAATATTAAAGGGTTTAATTTTTGTTGTATATTGCATATTTAGATGTTGCTGAGGTTATAGGTGACAAGGTAAAATATATTAATGTTTTGCTAATATTGTTGTTTTATGTAATTTATAGTACAGTGGGTGATCAAATTATTATGATCACTGCAAAAAATGTATTTTGGTGTTTAATAAAGAATAAAACTATGTATAAGCATTTAATGATGTGAGTATAATATAAAAATAGATCTAATATTTTGATTCTTCTTGTTTTGAGTGCAAAATTCCATGTATATCTCAACAAGAGAAGGTTAGCTGTATCTTCGCTCTCACTCTATCACTATCTGTCATTATGCATCCAGAATCAGACATAGGCCTCCTTTATGACTTTCCAGTTATTTCTATATGTTGCTTTTGTTATCCAATTTGGTCCAAGAGTCTTAACTCCTTAATGTACGTCCTTACTGGTAATTTTGTACACGCTTGACGCTCGTCTAGGACATGGGTGTCGGTTAAATCTTATCCATCAAATTTTTTAAGCTCTTGCAAAGCGGATATTTGTATAAAGAGACATAATATGTAAGCATAATTATATCTTAAGTATTTTTTTTATTATCAAATAGATGACTCAGTCAGTATTGAGTTACTCTAAAATATATTATCTCATAACTTGCAATTTTCAATCCTGGATATTATTGTTGGACTTTTGTTTTTATACAAGCCTCCTGTCTTGCCAGTGTAAAGTTGTCTGCTGAAGTTGATATTTATTGTGTTTTTGTGTTTGAACTTATTTGTGCCTTATATTCATCATATTTATTATATTGTTTCGTAAATAGTAATAGTTTGGTCTATATATATATATTGTAATATATTTTCTTTATCTCTATTTTAACCCAAGAATTTTTCCAATCACATTGTAGACCCACAGAAAATCAAATTGAATATGTAATCGAGAGACAGTTGCCAATGGAGGAAGAAAATAAGGAGTGTCAATTTAAAGTAGAAGTCCAACCTCTTTCAGATAATAGTGAGTTTATAACAATGAATACTGGCAAAACAATATCCTTCGTTTGGGAATTTTTTACAAAATTGCCCAACTCTGATTATCTAGCTTCTTGTAATGTTTGCCAAAAGGAGTTTTCTTATAAGACAACTACCACGAATCTAAAGAAGCATCTAGAAAGGAAGCATCCAGAGAATTTAGCAGTAAGTGATGAAAGTCATACATTTATAATATATAATTCTGCAGATGAAGCATCTGATGGTGAGCAAAATGTTTCACCAGCTGTTAGTATGGGTAAATCATTCCTATGGAATCATTTTACAAAAATACCAAATTCTGACTTTTTTGCTTTTTGTAATATTTGCAAAAAGGAGTTATCTTATAAAACAACCATCACAAATCTTAAAAAACATCTAGAGAGGGTCCATTCAGAAGAAATATCTACATTTGGAGAATTAAATTCTCTATTGTGGAATTATTTTACAAAAATTACTAACTCTGATGACGCTTATTGTAATATTTGTAACGAACAGTTTTCCTATAAGAATTCAGTCTCAAATCTTACAGAACATTTGGAATCACAACATCCTGACTATATAACAGACAGTGATAGAAATAATAGTAACAGCATGGAATTTAGTTCCATCAATGAAGCATCTAGCAGTAACAACTTCTCTTCAACTCCTAAAAAGCCAGTGTCTCACATTTGGGAGTATTTTATAAAAATTCCAGGTGTTAACCTAGCTAATTGTAAGATATGTAATTATCGACTTTCTTGTATAAAGATTTCTAATCTCAAAAATCATCTGGAAAGACAACATCCTAATAACTCAATGATAGGAAATGAAGATATATTGCACAATTTTGTTGATTGCAGTGGCACTGAAAAAAATGATTTTGTATATGTTGAACCAGGCCATAGAAAAACAGTACCCCAGTTGTGGGAATATTTTACAAAAACCTCTGACATGCAAGCATATTGCAATTTGTGTCATCAAGAATTTTCTTATAAATCATCCACCTCTAACCTCAAGGAACATCTTAGTACTAATCATTCTGATGTACTTCCTTTATACAAAGAAAGTGGCAATGACTATTTAGATTTAAACATGTCAGATGTTTTTAGTATATCCCAAACTGCAACAAATGAGCCTACAGATCCCTTTCATGAAGAGAACTTGAATTGCACTCAAGATTATTTTGTTACTTTAGGCCAAGAGGCCAAAGGTATGGGAATGGCTTCAGAAATCCAACCAAATCCATCTGCTCAACCAATTCAACTTATTGAAAGCTGTGATGAAATAAGCAGTAACATTGAAAGTAGAGGTGGAGAATTGCAAAAAGAAGGAATGGATGCGAAAACCATATCAAATATTAATCAAGCTAAAACTAACCAAGATATAGGTGAATATATATCTGCCAAAGATAAAAATAGCTGCAGCACTGTTAATGCCGATTCAAGTAAAAGTACATCTCCTTTATGGGATTTTTTCACAAAAGTCTCCCCTTTAAATTACCTAGCCAAATGTAATTTATGTAGTAAAATAATTTCTTTTAAATCTACAACATTTAATCTTCAAAAGCATTTGGATAAAAAACATCCCGAAGAGGTAACCAAGGAACAATCAAATGTACTATCAACAGAGACTAAAACAGATGACAATACTGGTATTAAGAGACCATCTTCTGTCTGGAATTATTTCACAAAAGATACTTTTGAAATGACTATAAGTTGTAATTTGTGCCAACATACTACATCTTATAGATCAAGTCAAGGAAGTACTGGAAATCTTTGGAAGCATATCGCCAGAAAACATCCACAATTATCAGACCAAGAAGAAGCCAGTAACAATGAACATTCTGATGACGAAGGTGTACAAAAAGAAGCAGAAGGTGAAAATTCACAGAAAGATAAAGTTAACTTTAATGCCGATGAAGATAGCTCTGATAGCAGTGAATCTGATACTGATGAAATAAATACACAAAAATGTCCTCAAAAGTCGAATAAAGATGGCAAAAGATGTTCTTCTGTATGGAAATATTTTACTAAACTTTCTCCTTCTAATACTCCACAGTGTAATATTTGTTTAATACAAATGTCAAGTAAATCAGGTACCAGTAATCTTTGGAAGCATCTCAATAGAAAACATCCTGATATATCAGCCGATAAAGATGATAGCAATAGTGATCAAAATTCTGACAGTGAAGAAGTGCAGGTACATAGTGATGATGAAAAAGATTGTAGTGAACAAAACAGAAGTAACGTAACAAATATAGAAGAAGTAAATCCTGATGAAGAAGTTGGTACAAGAAAGCGTTCATCAGTTTGGAAATATTTTACGACAATTCCATTTTCTGATATTTCCCGCTGCAACCTGTGTCAAACTAAAATGACGTATAAATCGGGCACCACTAGTAATCTACGTAAGCATTTGGCTCGGAAACACCCTGAACTATCTACAAACAAAGATGGATCCATTGTGCAGGATAAAGAACCTCTAGAGTTCAAACCTCAACAAAAACGTGGGCGCAAATCAAGCAGCCATGAAATAAAGGCTGAGGCAATAGATACTACCTGTGAAGTGAACACGTCTCGTAAGAGAGCTTCTTCCGTTTGGAATTATTTTAGGAAACTGCCTGACTCCAAGATTCCCTGTTGTAAAATTTGCAACTTAAAAATGTCTAGTAAATCAGGCACTAGCAACCTTTGGAGACATATCGCAGGAAAACATCCCCACATAAAAGCTGATAACGATGAATCTAGCAGTGACGAAGAGTCTGATGATGAAGAATCCCCGAAGGAAGAAGGGCGAAAGCCACATGACAACAGTATAAAACTTGAAGAAGTTGAAATTAGTGTAGTAGATAATAAAGGCAAAAAGAAGCGATCTTCAGTATGGAACTATTTTATAAAGCTTTTACCTTCTAATATGTTACGTTGTAATATTTGTCAAACAGAAATGTCTAGTAAATCAGGTACGAGTAACCTGTGGAGACATATTGCCGGGAAGCATCCTCAAATACAGACAGACAAAGATGGTAGCAGTAGTGATGAACACTCTGGCGACGACGAAGCGAAAACACAAAAATGTAAGAGAGAGAAAATTAAATTTGAAATAGTAGATGGAGACAGTACAGATGAAGATAAAAAAGGTGGGAAAAAACGGTCTACTGTGTGGAAATACTTTACGAAACTGCCACATTCTAATATACCATGTTGTAATATTTGTAAAGCTCAAATGTCTTCCAAGTCGGGCACTAGTAATTTATGGAGGCATATTGCTGGCAAACATCCTAATATACATAAGGAAAAAGAAGGATCCAGTAGTGATGAGAATTTGGATAATGATTCCGTTTCTGAAGAAGAGTTAAAGGACACTAGCAAAAGAAGATCTTCGATATGGCGATATTTTAGTATAATTTCCGATTCTGATACAGCTAGGTGCAATTATTGTGGGGTGGAGATGGCATACAAGTCCAGTACCGGAAATCTCTGGAAACATGTAGCCAGAAAACATCCCGACGAAACTTCAAATATCAATGAAAGCACCAGCGAAGAAAGTTCTGATGATGAAGAACCTCAAAATGATGAACATAATATACAATCACGAATGTGGAAATATTTCATTAAAGTTCCTGATTCTGACTTCTTAGCTTCTTGCAATTATTGCCAAAGGAGATTTTCGTACAAGTCTAGCATAGGAAATCTTAAAAAGCACATATATAGAAAACATTCCAAACAACTAGCAGAAAATTCTGAAGACGACACAGATGAAAATACTGTCAGTGATGGTGAACAAAAAGATTCGAATTCTGGTAAAAAGGTATCTCCTATGTGGAAGCTGTTTAGAAAAGTACCGAATTCTGACTATATTGCTTGTTGTCGGCTATGTCGAAAAAGAATCTCATACAAAACGACTACTAGTAATCTTCAGAGACACATCGGTCGACGACACCCCAAATATCTAAGTCTCAAGTACAAAAACCGTATCAGTTACACAGCTCGCAGACGAAACACTGCATTGTGTGCTAGAAATGCTCAAAAGTACAAAAACGAACTGTTAAATTTCAATAAGAGTGGATCTAGTCTATGGGACTTGTTCTCGAAGATTGAAGCTTCCGATTCTATAGCTTCTTGCAAAATTTGTCGGAATCAGTTATCTTATAAGACTACGACCGGTAATCTGAAGAAGCACATGTATAGGAAACATCGTAGCCTATTACCGGTAAGTAAAGACATGGAGAAATAATTAATTTTAAGCCTCCCTTAATGTTAACATGTATATCAATGTTTCGTGATATATTTCAATAGCACTGAATATAGGAAATCCAAATCTCATTACGAGCAAACATTATTTTGAGTTAATAATGAAATAAAAACATAAACAAGTGCTGTGCTAATATTTTTGTAAATAAATAATATGTATGCTACGCAGCGTAATTCAGAGGCTTCAAGGACAGTGGAATCTTCAGAAAAATAACAAAGCAGACGAAAAATTAGACGAAGTTAACTGAAGCGACGTGTGCTTGATAGTTATTGGTGGTGGCAATGTAAAATGAAGCAATAGCTTCCAATTTCCGTGTTTTATAGGTTATCCATTAATAAATAATGAACAAAACCTTCTTCAACAATTACTTCAAAATATAACTTGTACATTTTTGTAAAAAAATATGTTATCGATATATTTTAATGATAACATCCTCAAAATACAGAATAGAAAAAGGAATAACCTTTTGAAGGGTATAAAAATTATTTTAAAGAAGATCTTAAGATACAACATGGATATCCTGAGTAAGTCCATGTTGCTCCACGATACCAAAACATGATTGAACCAAAGGTAGTAAAGAAACGACTTGAGGTATTTATAAGAGGTCCCTGCAGACATATTTTAAGTATATTCTCTAATGAGTATTGATTTTTGCATGTATCTGTCGTTTTTGGATCATGACCACAAGACTTAACACAATTACTAATCACAAAATAATAAGAAACACAAATTAACAAATGGAAGTGTGAGAATATAGCGCATTTTTAGAACTACATGACATGATTAAATACTTAAACGATGACCAATTGCACAACCTTAGACATATCATTGGTATGCTTCTTTTATGCCATCATTTATCTGAGCTACAGCTTCGTTTTGACTGTTTATGCTTTTGAAACCAAACAAATTGTGTATTTCAATCAAAATTACATTTCATATTCAAAAAACAGAAATACTCTCATATAAATCATGATCTGCTTGTACAAAAGCCTGAATATTAAAATATGATTGAACTTTGAATATGGAAATATCATACCTATCACAATGGAAAGCCCATTTAAATGTTTATAATAAAGTTTGGCAACCATTAAGGATGAATCTTATTCTAGGATTGAAAATATTATAGAGTGAAATTTGCTTGGATTGCTAAGATAATTTGCTAGAAAGTTACTATAGACAAAAAGATGCTACACAGAGAATTCTTGTATGGAATGTACCATGTAAGCAGTGGAAATATTTGTCTTACTGAGATTTGGATTTTCATGGATGTATGTGTTGATAATATTTGGACCTTCTCTAATTGTTGTTTTAAGTAATGATAAACTTATTAATATCTAGTCATTTGAAAACTATATATTAACATGGTTTATGTTGAGGTAAACCTACTTCTTTAGCTTGGATATTTAAAAAAACAGCTATCTGTATTCAGCACAGTATAATAATAATTAGTTTGTAGAATTGATGTAATAATTATATTGAAATTTTAGAATGAACAACAAGAACCAGTACAATCATTTTCGGAACATGATGAAGATCAGAAAGAAGAAATTCCAGAGATGAAAGAAATGGAAAACAACGACAACATACCAATTCAAACTCAAACTGTCGATAATATCGACGATGATGACTTTTGGAATATGGACACCAACACTGACGATGACGATCCAGATTTCAGACCATCTCCCACGTTTGAGGAAGAAATAGATACAAAAAACAGTTCACACGGAAAGAAACGATCTCTTATTTGGAATGTTTTCACTGAGAAACCACTCTCTAATTTTGTAGCCATTTGCAATGTATGTAACCAAGAGTTTTGCTACCGAAGTACTACCAATAACCTCAAAAAGCATTTTCAAAGGAAGCATCCCAAGTTGTCCCTGGAACATAAGATAGAACGAGTTATAGAAGTAAGTCCAAACAACTATTACCAAGACACAAAAACTATCTGTAACAAGAATAGTCTATATGTAACTCTCTCTCTTTCTCTCTCTCTCATACACATAGCTTGTTGGTTTATTTACGCTTGTTACAGAAAAGTTTTTGTTCATTTATATCTTATCTGACTATCCAAGTAATTGACAAAAATATCCTTTATATTATAGGAAAGCACAGCTATTGAATATGCTGATGTAAAGTCTGAAAATAAAAGCTTTATAGACGATGATGACAAAGATTCTTCCGATGAAGCAGTGTCAAATTCCAAACGGAAGCGTTCCCAAATCTGGAACTATTTTACGAGAAAAAAACCTGGCGAATATGTTGCGACTTGTAATCTATGCAAAAAAGAGTTAGGATTTAGATCGACGACATCTAATCTAAAAAAGCATTTGGATAGGAAGCATCCTCATGTTGAGATCAAGTCGGAAAGTGATGAGATAAAAAAGGTAAGTTATTTTTTTTAATGGTACTATTTTTGTTATGATTTTGATAACCACTACAATTCTTTTTTGTACAAAATTCATGGATCTAGCTTCAGTAAAATATATAATCTTTTACTGAAGTCTAAGAAGTTTGTGAAGCTATTTTTGTATCGTTGTCATCCAATTTTCCATGGTCTTATCCTTTTTTGATATATGGTCAAGAACTATCCAATTAAAATATTTTGTTATCTTTTATTAGGTGTACGAGGTTTGGCTATTGAATAACGAGACTACGCTCGCAGAAGGCGTCCTAGAGGGGAAGAGTGGAACATGAATGCAGCATTGGATAGCTGGAAGTGTCTACTCTTCCAGTACGAAAACTCGTTTTTGTCGCTGTAGTAGTATTTTTTCTGTAGAGGTTAGAAAAGAACGTGTTTTTTTCTCGTACCGATAACAACGCAACGTGTGACGACAAACATGAGCAATGGATTAATGTGAAATTTCTCGTTAAATTAAAAAAAACTCCGACTGAGTGCTATAATTTGTTGAAAGAGGCCTATGGTGAGAATTCTCTATCCCGTGCGCGTGTTTTCGAATGGTATAAACGGTTTTCTGAAGGACGAGAGAGCGCCGAATATGACCAACGTCTAGGTCGACCTGTCTCTGTTTCAATTCCACAGACAGTGACCAAAATAAATGAAATTGGGCGCACAGATCGTCGTATGAGTATTCAGATGATTGCTGAGACTGTAAACGCCGATAAAGAAACTGTCAGAAAAATTTGACATGACAAATTGAACATGACGAAAGTCTGTGCGAAGTTGGTCCCAAAAAATTTGATCCCTGACCAAAAGCTCGTCCGTCAACAGATCTGCTCAGATTTTCTTGAGAGGTTACATGAAGAGCCTGAATTAATGGAAAACATCATCACTTGCGATGCAATCTGGATATTCAAATACGATGTTGAAACTAAGCGACAATCCATGCACTGGAAAACTCCTGCATCACCAAGAATGAAAAAGCAAGGATGTGGAAATCAAAATTTAAAGCCATGCTAATCGTTTTTTTCGACATTAACGGCATCGTGATGACTGAATGGGTTCCAGAGGGTCAAACTGTAAACCAAACTTACTATTTGAAAGTTTTCGTGAAAGAACGCACCTACCCATAACGCGCTGTCTGTGAAGCGTTATTTAGCCACTAGAGGCATTCCAGTGCTCGCCTGGAAAAACGGCAGAGCCCTTAAAAGCTCCAACAAAAGAAGACTTCCAGCATTGCTCTGACCAATGGAAAAAACGAATGTAACGGTGTGTGGCGAGGGAAGGGGAATATATTAAAGGAGAGAGCATTCTATTGTAGAATAATTTTAAAATAAAACTCTTTTTCATAAGCAGTCTCGTTATTTAATAGCCAGACTTCATATGGTTTAAATTTATTATCTTTTCTACTATTCACAATGTGTGTAATTTGTACATTGTTACCTCCAAATTCTATCAATTTAAGATGAGAACTACAAGGTACCATCTTAAGTATGATCATCTTGTTTGACTGTGGGCGAGAATGTGATGTGGATTAGAAGTTGAGTAATAGTCGAAATTGTGTCTGTTTACATATCATTTTTATGGAAAGTAGCTTCATCTCCAAATAAAATGTATTCAAAGAAATATTTTATTCTGAATTTGTTCCTATGCCGACAAAATTCTATTCTTTTATTATAGGCCTTCCCATTAAGCTACTGATGCAATTGTGCATGGTATGGATGCATCTTGTTCTTTTTTAAATTCTTCCTCACTACGACCACTCATTTCAAACGAATTTACAATTTTTCTTGTACTAACATGTACTAAGGATTACATTTTTTTTATTTACAATAGTTTTTGTTCAATTAGATTTCTCGTAATCTATGTAAAGCTCTTATTGGTTGTCATCAAGCAATTTTTGATGATAAATTTTTGTTCTTAGTAGCACATTTTTGTACACTTTTCTAGTACAAAAATCATATCAATCAGTTACTTCTCTGAAAAATTGATGTTAATAAGAGTAATAATGCAACAGGAACTATTTGTTATGTTAATACAAGTTCTAAAATAAAAATAGCCATTATGATTGCCAACCTCCGTAGGGAAATGCCACTCTAAGAAGAAGAAACAAAATGTTTAAAGAAAAAAATATTAGCCTTGATAAGAGATGGACGGTTGTCTTTTTCTTTAACAGTTTTCCTATTTAAATTTATGATTGGCAATAAAAATCCAATATATACTAAAATAGCCTGTCAGCCTGTTGTCAACCTAGAAATTGTCGCTATTTTTCGGGCGTGAGCATTTTGAGTACGTTTAAATTAGCGTAAAAAACGTCAAGCGTAGACACAATTTTTTCTCATTAAAATATTAATAAAGATTATACCTAAAAATACTTCTTTACTTGTGAATATGAATATGACTTCACGGATATATCATATCTTTCTGATAATAGAAAATAAAGTAAACTACAAATATCATATAGTACATATAACCAACGTTTGTTCCTTGATTTAGGAAATGCTCACACGACGAACATTACTATGATAATAACGTTTTTAAATGGCTGCTTTGATTAGAATAAGAATTTTAACAGAAAGTCTAGATTAAGCAGATTCAAAAACTAAGGTAGAGCGAGACATAAGTTAAGAGTAGAGGGCGATGTCGATTTGTAATAATTCTCTTAAAAATGTGAGCAGAATGCTCATATAGCAACAGATGCTGGGTTAAATTTGTTCATTGACTTTGTAAACATTTTTTACAGTTACTGATTATTAATTTTTCTTCCTTTCAGCCATGGAGTCCTTTAAAGGAAAAGAGAACAACAACACACGTTATTTCACAATAATTAATTTAAAATTCATTTGGCTAGATTAAAGGTTTAATTTTTTAATTCTGTTGCATTGTTAGATGGTTATTTCATAAGAGGGAAATATTTTTTTGTCATAGTGATGTTTTTTACAGGATGTTCCAGAAGTTCCTGTCAAGACTTGTTTGATTTGTCTACACACCGATCAGACAGAGACCAGGGAGTTTGTACAAGTCCACAATTTAAACCTAGAAGAAGGAGAAAAGACCTATATGACCAAAATCCAAGAAATTATGAATCAACCAGTGGTAAGATATTTTTTTTTGTCTTAAATCATTTGAATTTTGACTAGAATCCAATTTTATCATTGAAATTTCGGTTTCTTCGATCTCTTGAGATTTATCATTGACTGTATTACGATTATGTTCGGAATGTTTCAGCCATGTAGTTCGATGTTCGTAGTGCTAGAGTTTGTGCCAGAATGTTCAGATTGTACCCAGCATGCATATCACATACATATATTATTGATATGATAGCCATACATCCTAGTATAAGGAAAATAATGGAACCCTTGAATCTATAATATTGAACTTATTTAGTATGTTACAATCGTCACTCTTTTAGTCAGCAGTATCTTGTTCTTTTTTTGTAATTTCTTGATTGCCAATACGTTACCTGCTTAATACATTACACAGCTTTCATTGTTTTGTCAAATATCTCTCGGCGTTGTATGCAACACTTATCTGTCTATTGATCTTTGAGCCTTTGCGCAGGATTATGTTAACCATACAAGATACATTTGTCAGCAAGAATTTCTACAGTGAGGCGCTATTGTGTACCAAACAAAAAAATATATAAAAATTGCTCTTGTTGCAGGTGATAGATGAATCACACGTCCTTTGCCAGACGTGCGTTGATGATATAGAGAAAGTCATTCAATTTAAAGAAAAAATATCCAAGGCTTTTGAGTTCTGGAGTAAAATTGAGGCTGAGCCGGAACCAGAATCGTTCGATAATTTTGGTGATGATATGAATCACTCGGGTAAGTTTTAATACCTTTATATGTATACATATATCATATTACGTAATGGATTCGACCGTTACTTATTGGAAGTTCATTTTATCAAGCAATAAAACTCTGAAAACTTTCGTTTTCAGCCCTTTCACATAATTTTACTATAATTTATTATCACTATAGCTGTTCCGGCAGAGTACCTTTCTAAAGTGAGCTATTTTTGTTATGCTTTTAACACTTTATAGTCTTTAACTAAATAAGTTAAGGCGGGGAGAGATGTTTATCTCAAGTTGTTCATTCAAAATTATATCTGTATTTTTTAAATGTTATAGATTCTAATAATGATAGCTTAAGGACTTTATTTTGGATGTCAAGAATTTGAAATGGTTTATTAAAAGAATGATTTTGATCTAGAAGGTGAAGTGCGTACGTAGAATCTGTTTTTCTATTATTGAAAGACTTTTTGTTGTGATCTGTTATCCGTTTTTTTTAGGATTCCACCCGTTTTACCGAAGTAAGTTTCAGTTCCTCTGTTCTCTATTTGCATTTCCAAGTATTTATAGGTTTCGACTTGTTCGAGTGTATTTCCGTTAATTTTTATCATTGTTTGTTTTCTGTATTTTGCACATACCAATTTCGTCTTCTCTTCATTAATTCTCAAATTTCGTTTCATTAGTGCAGCGTTCCATACTTGTAAATTTCGACTGAGTGTGTCTTCATTTATTCCAAATATCACAAGATCGTCTGCGTATGTACACTCGTGAGATCCACACCGCTTCTAGATTCCTAGATGTCCTGCATATAATTTTAGTGTTTCCGTTCTAGAGTCATCTAAGACGATGTTAAGCAGTATGGGACCTAGGACTCCCCCTTGGCGCAAATTCTCATTTTACTAAACAAAAAGTGACTTTTAGAGTTAAAAGCATCCTCTACTTTTGGCAGTATAGTTATTTCCTGTATATTATTCATTAGAAAGATTTTTTAATCATTATATATCCTCATAGTATTTATATTGAAATGATTTCAATAGGTCAAAGAGGATATAACTTAAAGGGATTTTTATATGAGTTTGTTGTTCATGAATTTCATGAAGCCATCACAATGTGGGGTCGACTCTGAAATAAAAGGGAGAAAAGATTAGTAAATTGCTAAATAAATTAATTTTGACTTACCTGGTATAGTGTTAATAATTTCTGAATAGTATAGTTGCCTAGTGTATAGGTGAATCGTCTAAACCTTAAAAGGAATAAAAAAGAAGAATTCTTAAAAAATTATTTAAACATAGAAATTTTAAAAATAAACGTCAGAAAAATAAACTGTCAAAAGTCTGTGGGAACTAAATTAATAGGGGTTTTGTTAAATAAATTACAATGATGTGGAGATGAAAAGAATAAATTATATTAGTATTGTTAAGTTTTATATCTGAATTTTTTTTTATAAATTCCCAAATTAGATGTGATTAAAGTGCTTATGAGAAATTAATGTGGTTTGACAAATATGTCAAAACAGGACAGTTTTATGGTTGAATAAAATAGAAGACGGAATGAAAAAAGAAAGGGGTTGCTGTTAGCAACGAATAATTTTTGATGGGTGCTAGCTATGGCGGTTAACAAGGAAGAATAGGTTGTTGGAGGCGACGAAAATTTTGGAGGAAGAGCCCTAAAAAGGTGGAATAGTCCGGGAGTGCTTTAAAATCGTTTAATTATAATTTAGTTTTTCCACATTTTCAAATAGAGATATCCAGAATTTGTTCCAGAGAGTAAGAGAAATTTTGACTTATAAATTATAATTGGAGTGCAGAAATGTCATTTAGATTGAAAAAGTAAAAATTCATGAATTAACTAATTGCGATAGGCCTTAAAAATTGAAATATTAATGATCATTAAAATAAAAATATAATAGTACGTACCTTTAACTTCCGAAGAGAGGATAGATATTCCAGTATCACCGATTATTTTGCGAGTAGTTAGTTTTCTTTAAAAAAAAAAAATCAGAACTGTTTGAAAGTGAGTTTGGATAATAATTTTGGGATCATTTGAAATTTTGATTATATTTTAATGCTAGTTATAAGTCAGCGGCATAAAGTGTTCAGTTTTCTTTTCTTTATATTTCATTTAAACACTTTATAAAGTTGCAATAGTCATTTAGATTTAAGGTAATTGTAGAGAGTTTCCACATTTTGTAATCAAATTCTATTTTCACGACACATTAAGGTTTACACGATTCCTATTTTTGTAAATTTTTAAAGGCAACCCAAGTTGCAGACGAATTTTATTGTTTATATTAAATTTGTTCAATATTAATAAATAACGTGCTTCATTTGGGTTAATTTATCAAAAATATAAAGTAAATTTTGGTTTAATTTCTTTTTGAACTCTACAGGAGACTACAGAGTTGACGTCACACAGTGACAGATTGCTTAGAACAAATAATTGAGCTAGCCGAGGTATAGTATATTAACAACGAACTACATACTTTTAAAATTCACTTCAATTCAATTAAAATTATATTTATTAACAATAAAACAGAAAAATAATAAAAACAAAACTATTACAATTGGCGCCCAACGTGGGGCCTCTGGGAAAACAGAAATAAGGGTGTTTTTTTTTAAGCAGATTTATTAATAATACACAGATTAAAATAAAAACAAATTGGTGTGATTAGAGTTGTAGAGATTCTGGGGTAGTTAAAGTTAAATTTGAGAATAAATAGAGATTAGGATAAAATGGCAGACCGAATGACTTTAAGAAATGGAAAAGAAATCGTACCGAAAAAGAGTGAAGGAGAACAGGTGTTAGAACAGGAACAGGGTATACAGGTAGATGAAGAAAGCAGAGGAGGATCAGGAGAATTTGTAGTACAATATTTAGAGCAAGGCAGACAAGAAGCAGGACAAGGTGATAGAGAGGGAAGTCTAACAGATAGTTTGAGAGAGGAGTTGGATGAGACAGTGAGAGATAGACGTGATGAAAGTGTGGATGAATGTAGAGTGCAGGAGGAGAGACGTAGGGAAGGAGATGTTGGAGAGTCAGGGATGACACAGATGGATATGAGGCAAATAATGCGGATGTTACAACAGATGGATCATAATATTAGGGGAGATATGCACAAAATGGATAGTAATATTAACAATATTAGGGGGGATATGAATAAAATGGAAAATAATATTAAAGGAGAACTTAGGGAAGAGTTAATTAAAATGAGGGAAGAAATCAAAGAAGAAGTGAAGATAGTCAGGGAAGAGATGCTACAAATTACCCAAGGTTTAGAAGAGAAAGTAGAACAGGTCAGAGGAGAAAGTGAGAATTTTAAGAGGAATGTACAGGAGGAGATATCCAGAGAAAAGGCCATAATTAGAGCGGAAATAGGACAGGAAATTGGGAGCAGATTTGTAGAGTTGGGAACAGCCATTAAAGAGAATTTACCAATGGAAATAAACAAAGAAGTTAATAAGCAGAATAAAGAGATTGTTAGGGAGGTAGAAAGTGTTAAAAGGCAAACTCAGGATTATGAGGAAAAATTACCATTATAAAAAATAATATAAAGAAGGGATTGCAGAATTTGGAACTGGAAATGGGTATGCATGCAAATCAGGCGGAAAAGGGAGATAGAGTATTACAGGGACAAGTTGAGGAATTGAGAGAGAAATTTAAAAATGCAAGTGAGGAGATTCAGCGTTTGGAATCAAATCTAGGACAAACAAGAGTAGTGAGTACTATGGTGCCGAGTTATAATGATGGGGGAATAAAGTTTGATGGAAACCTGAATCACTTACATCCTAGAATATTTGTAGATATCATCAAAAATAAGGTAAAGAATGTAAGGGATCCAATAGAAATGAAATTGAATATTCGAAACATGTTAGTGGGCATGCCATTATTATGGTTTTGCAATAATGAAAATTCCATAAATAATGTGCAGGAATTTGAGGCCAAGTTTATTAACTATTTTTGGGGAGAAAACCAACAGGCTAGTTTCAGGGAGCGGTTGTATTTTGGGAAATTCAATTATGAAAAAAGTACCAACTACAATCTGTACGCAATGCAGTTATTCAGACAGCACAATATTTAGAACCGGCTATGCGAGAAGAGGAGATTGTCCTATACATTGCCAGGCAATATAACCATAACATGGCAGAAACAATAGCTCTCCACAATATAAAGACGATGGAAAGTTTGACAGGATATCTTCAAAGGATTGAGAGGAGTGTAGGGACGCAGAATCGAAATGGACAAGAGCAAGTGACATATAGGAATAACACAACAAATAGACAGGGATATGTGAATCGAGGGAATAATTATAGGGAAAGAGAATTTGAGAGACAAAATAGAAGCAGGGATTTTACAAATAGGGGAGAGAATTTGAACAATGTCAGGAGAGATATCGGACGATATAACTGGGAACGTAGACAAGGGAATCCAAACAATGATAGAGAGAATAACTGGAGACAAGGGAATGACAGAGGCAATAATTGGAGACAGAACCAGGGAAATTATCCACAGGAGACGAGAAATAGGGAAGTTTACAGAGAAGGGAATCCAAGATATAATAGGGGGGAAAATGAGGAGAGAAGACAGGTGAATGTAGTTAGAACAGAGGAGAATAGGGGGGAAGCAAGTGTTGATGCAGAAGGGAGAAATTTTGCTTAGACCGCTCCTATGTGCATAATATTGTCTACTTATCAAAGTATGAACATCCAAGGGAGTTTATTAGAGATACTGGGGAATTAAATAAAAACAATAACACTAATACTTTAAAGTTTATTGAAGGGTACATACAAGATTCAGTATACAAGTTATTATTATAGATACAGGTTCAGAAGTAACTCTAATCAACAAAAACATTGTAAATAATTTAAATAATGCAATATTATGACACGAATTTGGTATTATAAGATATAAGTTTTGTAAATAGAAGGATAATTAATAAATAAGCATATCTTGAGATAAATTTGATAATTAAATAATTTATTAGGAACAAATGTACAGAATAATGATAAATTTATATAAACAAAAAAGGTTGATTTATTTTCAAGTAAATTTATAGGAGTTACAAGTATAAATAAATGAGCAAAGTACTATGGACAAATCGATATTTTGTAGAAATTGGGAAATAGGGAATATTATAATGATAAATAGTATATGTGAAAATATGTGGGAAATAAGATGAAAAATAGAATTATAGGAAATATTGAAATATGAAATATAGAGAGTTATATGTAGAGATGATGAAATGGATATTATATGGGGATATAAAAAGAATAATAATAATGCGGCAATGAATAAAGATACTGAAATAGTATATGCGGAAATAAATAAATAAATAAAAACATAAAATAAAGAGGGGAACAATTATAAGAATTTCTACGAAATTAGTACGAGAAATAAATAGTACAGGAAAAGAAGTAATGAAATTGGGAAAGTACTTGGAAATTTGATTCTGAAGTTGATATAATTAGTGAAAGATTTTGTAGATTTTTGTTTGGAGAAGTCTGTATTTTTCATAGAGTAAATTATTAAAAAAAAAAATATTCAAGAGATATGCTTATTAATAAAAGTCAGTTTATTGTTATGTTAATATTAATAAAATGTTTAAGTTTATCGGTAAGAATTTAGATTTAGTAAGTGCTGATAGTTAGCACTGAACAAAATCCAAATTGGGGGGAAGTTGAAATGATTTCAATAGGTCAAAGAGGATATAACTTAAAGGGATTTTTATATGAGTTTGTTGTTCATGAATTTCATGAAGCCATCACAATGTGGGGTCGACTCTGAAATAAAAGGGAGAAAAGATTAGTAAATTGCTAAATAAATTAATTTTGACTTACCTGGTATAGTGTTAATAATTTCTGAATAGTATAGTTGCCTAGTGTATAGGTGAATCGTCTAAACCTTAAAAGGAATAAAAAAGAAGAATTCTTAAAAAATTATTTAAACATAGAAATTTTAAAAATAAACGTCAGAAAAATAAACTGTCAAAAGTCTGTGGGAACTAAATTAATAGGGGTTTTGTTAAATAAATTACAATGATGTGGAGATGAAAAGAATAAATTATATTAGTATTGTTAAGTTTATATCTGAATTTTTTTTTATAAATTCCCAAATTAGATGTGATTAAAGTGCTTATGAGAAATTAATGTGGTTTGACAAATATGTCAAAACAGGACAGTTTTATGGTTGAATAAAATAGAAGACGGAATGAAAAAAGAAAGGGGTTGCTGTTAGCAACGAATAATTTTTGATGGGTGCTAGCTATGGCGGTTAACAAGGAAGAATAGGTTGTTGGAGGCGACGAAAATTTTGGAGGAAGAGCCCTAAAAAGGTGGAATAGTCCGGGAGTGCTTTAAAATCGTTTAATTATAATTTAGTTTTTCCACATTTTCAAATAGAGATATCCAGAATTTGTTCCAGAGAGTAAGAGAAATTTTGACTTATAAATTATAATTGGAGTGCAGAAATGTCATTTAGATTGAAAAAGTAAAAATTCATGAATTAACTAATTGCGATAGGCCTTAAAAATTGAAATATTAATGATCATTAAAATAAAAATATAATAGTACGTACCTTTAACTTCCGAAGAGAGGATAGATATTCCAGTATCACCGATTATTTTGCGAGTAGTTAGTTTTCTTTAAAAAAAAAAAATCAGAACTGTTTGAAAGTGAGTTTGGATAATAATTTTGGGGATCATTTGAAATTTTGATTATATTTTAATGCTAGTTATAAGTCAGCGGCATAAAGTGTTCAGTTTTCTTTTCTTTATATTTCATTTAAAACACTTTATAAAGTTGCAATAGTCATTTAGATTTAAGGTAATTGTAGAGAGTTTCCACATTTTGTAATCAAATTCTATTTTCACGACACATTAAGGTTTACACGATTCCTATTTTTGTAAATTTTTAAAGGCAACCCAAGTTGCAGACGAATTTTATTGTTTATATTAAATTTGTTCAATATTAATAAATAACGTGCTTCATTTGGGTTAATTTATCAAAAATATAAAGTAAATTTTGGTTTAATTTCTTTTTGAACTCTACCAGGAGACTACAGAGTTGACGTCACACAGTGACAGATTGCTTAGAACAAATAATTGAGCTAGCCGAGGTATAGTATATTAACAACGAACTACATACTTTTAAAATTCACTTCAATTCAATTAAAATTATATTTATTAACAATAAAACAGAAAAATAATAAAAACAAAACTATTACAATATGTTGTGTTATTTACTCCATTTTTCACATTTAGTACTTGTACAACTATTTTTGCTGCTTAGTTTTGCCTTATTTTAAAATTTGTCATGTAGAAACACAATTTATGTCAAAAACATTATTTATTTATAAAAACATATGGTTATTCGAAATTGAATAAAAAGAAAAGTAGCTTTGTTGATAAAAAACAGTTGCAACAAAATAATGTTTTATATATCATTTTATATTAACACCTAGTATTTCCTCCTCGGGCTATTATAACAGCCTGCATACGTCTTGCCATTGAGGTAATTACATTCTGAACATGAAGTTAGTCCAATTCGTCCCATATTATCTGAAGAACCGCACTAAGTTCATGCAGGATGTTTGGGCGGGGTAAATGAACTTCAATTCGTCTTCCCAGTGTGTCCTACAGATTTTAGATTGGATTGAAATCGGGGTTGAAAGCTGGATAATTCATACGGTTAATCCCGATGTTTTCTAATTATTCATTGACGATTGAATTGGCGTGAAAGTACCACATGCTCATCTAAAATCGTTGTTATATGCCTTACTACTGTTATAGAATTTCCATCCACAAGATCTAAGTCAGTACGGGCATCGGAACATATATCAGCCCAAACCATAACCGAGCCTCCTCGATATGTGATTCTGTCGGCTGTATTACATTGGGCAAATTATTCTCCTTGTATTCTCCAGATTCTTTCACGACTGTCTGGTGACTTCAAGCAAAAGCTGGACTCATCTTAGAACAAAACAATTGTTCCAATCTAGGTAAATCCAATTTTCGTGTCTTCTTGCAAAACCAAGTCGAGATCTATGGTGTTTCACGGATAGCTGTGGACATAGGGCTGGTCTTCTGTATAATAAATTCGCTTCATAAAGTCATCAACGAACGGTCCACCTACTTCATTACATTAGCACCTGGGCGGCATAATATTGGCTAAGACCATCTTGCACTAAAGCCACAGCTCTTGCTGCATTCTTTGGTGTAAATGCCATTTTATACAATTTAACTTTTCGAATCGAACTTTGTGCACCTGAGTGTATATATATATATATATATATATATATATATATATATATATATATATATATATATATATATATATATATATATATATATATAATTGTACTATTTGCTGACTAAATAGGTATTACACCAGGAATTTTTCCGAAATATCTTTATTTCGTTCTCAAGAAATAAAATTTGAGTTTGTGTACAATTATGTTTAAATCGTAAATATTAGATATATAATTATAAAAACTATTAAAACTAAAATTTTAAATTTTAAATAATTTTGAATAATGTAATAGTTGACAACCTGAATTATCGTATTGCGATTCATTGTCAGTTCTGACTGTTATCATCTCCAACATTGATATTTGGTATTTATTAGAGTCGACTTTTTCGAAACACCTACTAAAATGTCTTGTAAGATATAATAAAGTCGCGTAGTCATACTATAAACATTGAAGTTATGTTTCTTCCGAGACAAGTTATCAAATTCAAGCGTTTAGTTTTGAGGTTACATCTATTTTGAGGTTATGTCATCATTTTTTGCAGATATTAATGTTGACTTAATGCCGATAAAACGAGACGAAAAATAACAATTATACCGAAGTGTTTTATGATAGCAAATGTTACGTAAATAAAAAGAAGAAAATGCTGAAAATTGTCATAAGAAAATATTTTACCTGAAGTTTACTACGAAGAAATAACAGGTGACGTTTGCGAGTAATATTTTGTGTTCATTCCGGATAATTCTGTTTGTTATTGATAATACCGGTTACAATTCAAAACTAACAGAACAAATGCCAACAAAGTAAAGGTAAAAAGCTGAGTTAATTGCTTTTTGGGCAAATGTCACAAGTTATACAAGGAAAACATGACAAAAAAAGAATTACTTAAGTATCTATTAGCAACATTCTGAAATTTTACTTAATTAATGTGCCGAAAATACACTATAATTAACGTCATTGATTTTCTTTCTATTACACTCGTTTAATTCTGTTGTTTTTAATAAACTATTATCTAAGTTTACCTTATCGAAAAGTTTTGTTCTAAATGTTCCTATTTGTCTCCTACAGATTACAGCGATTTAGAAGACGGTGAGAGTTTGGCCAAGTTCACTTGCAATAAATGCAACAAAGTATTTCCCTCTCCGTCTGTTATGCTCAAGCACAATTGCGGACAACAACCTCGGAAAGAAAAACCTGCCGCCAGACGAGAGGTCGTCGATAAAGATACCAAGTACTATTGCGAACATTGCGGCAGGTGTTTCAACATCAAATGGAAGTTGAACAAACATTTGAAAAAGTAAGTGGGTTTGCTATTATGTTTACAGGGGGTTTTAAAAATTTATAGAGATCATACTGTGGGAATTGTCATACGATAATAAACATAATTCCTTAGATAAATTGATTTGATATGATTTGAGTTTAAGGTAAATTGAGAGAATTCTTATCTTGTTTTATAGTGTACTGATCACATGTGAAATTACTATGAAAAGGTTTCTTAGAAGCTCTAAAATTCATTGCTATTTCTGCCTTACACTGAATTATTGTGAAGTTAAAGTTTTTTACGGTTTTTTTTTTAAATTCATTTAGAATATCATTTTTATTTTATTACCTTTCTTTCCAGATGTCAAAATAACGTCGCCAAGCAGTTCGTCTGCACCTTGTGCAATCGAGTGTTCAAAAAAGCCTACCATCTTAGAGAACACATGGCATCTCATACCGGTGAACGGAACTACAGTTGCAACTTGTGCGGCAAAACCTTCCAGAGATCGTCCTCGAAGCACAAACATATGCGCAGCCACAACGCCAAGCCGGGAGAAAAGTCTAAGAAGACTCCGTTCTTGTGCACCATTTGCGGTAAGAGTTTCCCGTACAGTAATGGAGCTTCGAGGCATATGAGGGTGCACTTGGGCGAGAGGAGGCATGAGTGCCATATTTGCCTAAAGAGATTCAGCCAGACAACCCACTTAAAGGTATTTATATATTTGATATTTCATATAATAAATCAATAATAAGGATTTATGCCACAATGATAATTCTGTCTCGCGTTGGTGTCATTCGTAAAGTACATACACACTTCTATTTAATGTGATGATTTTGTCATGGAAGGCATTTTTGACGTTTTTATCAAGTAGGATATGTTTAACAGTCAGTGGATCGGAGCAGCTGTATTTGTGTATTAAGGCAGTGTGGCCAATTCTTAAACGATTAATAATAACTTGGTTTATCCTGCTTTAGAATTATCCAGAACAGCATTTAGTTTTGAGCAGATTACCTTTAATTTTGTCTTCTTCTTAACTTCTTCTGTTCTCTCTCTCTTCGTGTATCCGTGATCTGACATCCTAGCAATGTGTCCAGCCCATCTAAATCTCTGCACCGAATTTCACAATATCTGGATCGGTGTATAACTGATATACTTCAAAGTAGTATCTTTGACGCCATAGGCCATTTACGGCCACAAAAACCTTTTTAAAAATGTTTCTCTCAAAAATACCAAGAAGTCCTTTCATAATTTTAAGATAAGGCCCACGTTTTAGCGCCATATATCAAAACCGGTCTTATTAAGGTCTTGTATATTTTGAGCTTCGTTTTATATTTTTATTTTTTAAATTTTTCTGGAGACTATGAACAGTTCTGTTTTTGCTAGCGATCCAAGATATGTGAATTCTTTCTTTTTCTTAACGTGTCCCATCCCTAAGAATATTGGCGATCATCATGGCCCATTTGACTCTATCTGCAGCCGTTCTGAAAAGTTCTATTGACGTTTTCAAACTCCATTGTCTCAGATTTTTCAACCAGGATACGCGTCTTCTCCCTGGTCCTCTTTTTTCCATTTTTTTCCAATGATTTTGCCATGTATTAGTACGCTGTAAAATTTTTTTTAGTAAATCTGCCGATTTAAATGCAGTAAGAAATTGTAACCCTCTTTAAACGAGGTAAAATTACTACAAGAAAACTGCAAATTTTACCATCCTTACCATTTACGTTCTAACAACATTATTGCTTATAACAGTAAACTTACTGTTATAAAGGTAATTTATGTACTGGAAGAGGTTAAATCTGCTAAACAGTTTTTACAGTGCAGCTTCTTTAGATCGGTGATCTTTTCAATTTTGCAGTGTGGTTTGAGCTCATTCGACTTTTGTTTACCAGTTGATCTGCTTTTCTATTTTCGTAGATATCTTTATATGAAAATACCCAAATAAAAGCAGCTTTCTTTCCTAATGATCGGAATGTTTCTAGTTCGTTTTTTATTGTTTGTAAAAAAGGGATTTTGGTATATATTTGTTTTAATCCCAGTAATGCATTTAAGGAGTTAATTCTGATAATGCACTTCACCGTTCAACCCTTTTTAAAGAAGATTAGGGCTTTCAAAATAGCTGTAGCCTCGCCTTTGGTTTTTCTCCTGTTTGTAGGTATCTATATGCTATAAGAGTTTTCATTACAATAGTAGACAGCAACGTGACCATTAGAAGTTTTAGAGGCGCTGTTGGCAAATAGTTACGATAGTGGTCTAGAATTACCATGATATATGTTAATTTTTTCCGCCATTCACGCTAGTTTTTTATGTACTTATGTATAATATATGTATGTTCTTATTTCTCCTTTAATTACCGTTGAGTTCGTTTGATTACTTAGGGAAAGAATGTTTTTTTCAATGTTAACGTGTGATGATCAGAAATATTAAGATAGTCTTTATAGACCGTAATGGCATCAATAAATGCCTTGACATCTTCATTTGGTTTTCTCGAAAACCGATGTTTACACGCTGAGAAGTTAGAATTTGAAGTACTTACAGTTTGGCTTTGATTGGTAATCACTAAAGCTGTTTCTCCTGTCTGAGTCATGTTTGTAACTTTATTTCTTGATTTAAGAGACGTAAACAGTTTATAGAAAGAGTTAATCACGTAGAGAACTGAGACAACAATGTCCAATATCGATTTAAAGTCTTTACTAATACTGCGGAACTAAAAACAAACTAGTGTCCACAACAGATTTTGTTTACTTTAGAACGAAACACACAATTAAGTAACACTGAAGTTAACTTTTACAAAAGAAAAATAATGTCCCACGTTGGGCGCCAATTTATAAGGGGGGTATATTGCAATATAGGTTGCATACCCGTTGGAGATTTGTTACAATACTTCATTTATTTATAATGGCTAGATTTGTTTCATGTTGGCTTTTATGCTCATTTACGTCGTTTATATTTTTCGTCATTCTAAAACTTCCTGTTACAGTTTAATAAAATAATTTGCTCGTTCTATCTTATATACATTATAATACAGACATAATTGCCAATTATATTACATAGTGTATCTAGTCTTATAATAGTATTTCCATTTTGGCGTTATAATTTCTTTCAGATTTATGCTTACTGGTAAAGTATATCATGTTTAAGTTCGATAATTTTTTTTGACAAAATTTTTTGATCATTTTGAAGGCATTAATTGATTACATTCCCTTCTTCAGTCTTTCTTCTTTCGGTTTTCAAGATTAATAAACCTTTTTTCTCAATATTTACGATCTCAGTGCAATGACTATATATGAAGAATATAAATGTAAGCAAAATTTACGATAGACTAACAAAATCATCATTAAAATTTCTACCAAGAAAATTGAAGCAAAAATCCTAAATAAAAGTGAAATATTATTGTTATTCATATATATTCATATAACATAAACCAAAAGAGCTGCGAAAAATGGAAAACTTCCTTCGTTTATTGCCATTAATTGCTGCTTATATTTTCGTCTTGCTTGAAATATGTATCATATTTCCAATATTTGCTTGAGAAATGCTCCAAGAAAGTGGTCGGCAAAAATTACATTGGACAGAATAGCTAACCAGTTTAATTAGACAGTGTATCCCGTTACACAACGTTTTTAACACAATACAGAACTAAAATGGAAACATGTCAAAGAAAATGTTTGTTGTCCTACTTTCCTTGTTCACTTGCCCGCCCTACATTTTAAAGTTTTGTTGTAAATATTTATTACAAGCTTATGTTTTTGTAATTTTTTCGTTAAACTTTTTTTCAGGTTCACCTTCGAACTCATTCTGGTGAAAGACCTTACGGTTGTATGATTTGTGGTAGGACATTCTCTCTGAACGCGAGTTTGCGCAAACACATGCGACTCCACGTCGGATCTGGCGACTTCGTGAAGTTGGTCAAGAACTTTGAAACGAATCTGGCGCCGGGAGAGATGGTGGCGGCGGACGGGTTACATGTATTGACAGCTGTCACTCCTCAAGATATAGAAATGGACGCGAATCAGTGTATTGCTTAATGACTATAATAAGAAGTATAGATTTTATTATTATAAATTGATTAAAGGTTAGATGATACTGATAGTAATTATTGGCGTAAATAAATTGCTTTATTTAATAAATAAATAGTTTTTTTTTCACACACAATATTTTCTTTATTTCTTTCCTTTTGATGTACACGACATATTTTGGATTCCCCAGAATTTTCCCGTGAGATCTGGCAACAATATGTCGCAAGCAATATCCTGAGATCAACCTATGTATATTTAGTAGTACGTCTTATAACACAAATAAGTGGCAGATAAGTGTACGGTATACTGAAGTGAACTAGATGTACTGGATCTGGTACCTGGCCAATCTGACCGGAACCCTACTTCCTACCGCTAGCCGGACCGGCCCCTGAATTTCGGCCGGATCAGGAAGTATTCCAACACTATATTCCGTTATAAAGTATGAGACATCAATGATAAACGTGTGGAAAGAATTCATTTTAAAATTTTGGAAATGATTTGTATTGATAATCGACCCTTTTCATTGGTAGAAAATACTGTGTTTAAGAGACTGCTAAATACAATTCAACATAAAAGAAAGTATATGAATCGCCTATTTCAAAAACAACCTAAGTAAAATTTTGGCGATTTGAGTTTATAACACCAAAATGTATTTCTGTGGGTTACACACAATTTAATGCAGAATACACCTAATTTCCGTAAGCATAGTTGATTTTATATCGATTTAAAATATTCATATATTTCTGAAACCCGGACTAACATTGTTTCTGCACTAAATAACCTATAAAAGTTATAGTGTTTCTATTGTTTGCTTTTATTGCTGCTTACAAAAAGTTGTCTCTATATTGGAAGAAAAAAGTTCATATTTTAATATTATTATGTACAACGATCAACGAACCATCAGTGCTAAAAACGCTAAGGATGGAGAGCGTGCAGCTAAAAGACGTAAGTGAATAAAAAAAATCGTATGAATATCAGCGTAATGTTATCAGAAACTAATATATTAGCTACAAAAATAAGGCCATGGCAACAAAGCAAATTGCAAAATCAGTGTAAGACAATAAAAATATAATATTTTTGAGTTTGTAAAATGCATTTTTAGGTGTCCACTCAAATGTTTTGAAAAAGTGAACGAAGATCAAAGGAACATTATTTTTGGTAACTTTTACGATATAACAACAAAAAACCAACATAATATATATCTACAAGGATTAATAGAAGTAATGGAGATGACTAAAAGAAGAAAACGCAATGAAGAAGGTAAAGATAGGACAAGAAGTTAGAAGCTATTTGTTAATGTTGATCAGACTAAAAGAAAGATATGCGAAAGTGCTATTTTAAGTATTTAAGCCATTGGAAGAGAAAGGATAAAGAGAATTAAAAGACTTGTGGTATGTGGTGATACCTACAGATAAAACGGGAAAAAATATAAGAGGGAACATTATTGATGCTGGAACTAGGGAACTTATCCGTAGCCACAAAACTTCATTTCCAGTCAAAGAGTCTCATTACTCTGTGACTTTATTTAAGTACTTAGATGCGAAATTTAAACAAACAAATACATAGTTATATGTTCTCCACAAATATGTTTTGAACAATCTGCACAGCTTGAAGTGGTTTTTTCTATTTTTCATCGAGGACAGTAAAAATATTTTACTATCTTTAGTTTCTGCAGTTGCTACTTAAGTTTCTTCACCAAGAAGTTCTGCTTGACGTCTTATTTGAAGTCTTCTTGTAATATGCAATGTTGTTATTGATGCACGACTTATCAGGTAGAGTCTGACGAGATCTGTACTGATTTCTCTTAGATATTTACGACGTTCTAATTTAGTATTAGTATTGCTATAATAAATTACCTGACTATTTATAATTGCAATATTCATCAATGAAAAAAGACTAAGTGACTATCGGCAATTTATTTGAGAAACGGAGTAATTACATTTCATCTGGTCCACAACATCCACTGCTCCCTTTGTCGTATTGTAGAAGGTTATATCATCAAGGTCATCATCATGAATTGTAGATAACATCAGAAAATTTTTGTGTTTCTAGGGAACGTATGACAGTAAAAGACAGTCTTTACCAAAAATGCTTCTGTTTAGTGGTTTTTCTTTTGTAGCTAGAAAAAGAGGAGGAATTTGTGGTTTATTCTTTCTCAGGGTTCCTAATAGTGTTATACTGTAATTATGTAGCAAGTCAGTAAGTAGCCAGTGGAATGGACGTAAACCAGTTGTCGAAAGTAATGTTGCGTCCAGTATGGGAAATTGGTTCTATCATATGTTTAACCATACTGCTAGGAATATTATCTATCTCAAAGAGGCCTCCTGAATGCTTTTTAGCATATATTTCCCACTTTGCTGTATAAAAAGTTCGCGAATCAACAAGTGCGAACATTTTTATCCCATATTTTGCTGGCTTACTGGGTATATATTGACGAAAGCTATATTTTCCCCGAAACACTTCAAGCATGACTACAATGCAGCAATGCATTCCAACTGTATAGCAAGCCATGCACTTTTCCAAAAACTCATCGAAACTTTTCTAATGAGTGCAAGTTTGTCAAGCTTTCGTGGTTCTGCTCTGGACTGGATATCGTCAAAGCGTAGTGCACGAAGGAGGATATAGAATCGCTTCTTTGACAACTGTCCGAAAACATTTAGGAAATGTTCCATTTTTAGCCCAAAGATCGTCCAGATTTACATGAGAAGCTTCGAAAGTACCAGCTAAGTACAACCAGCCAAATAATGCTCTAATTTCATCACTTTTGGTACCTACATACTGCATCCTTTTTACGAGAAAACTAGTTGTACATTTGTAATAAATACGTATTGGTATGTTGCACAATTTCATTGATCATTTCGTCAGAGAAAAACAATTCTCAATATTCATTTCGTGTTAACATATTTTTTGCTATTTGTTTTACACCTGGTAGACGAGTAACTATGTTGCGCCTTCGCGTGCAACTGGTTTTTCGCTGTGAATGTACAGCCCATTTTTTTTATACAATCTTTACCAATATAAACTGGATCACCTTTACGACAAACAGAAGCCACATCAGAATATGTTGACAATCTATCTTTTTTATGGCCCAAATTTTCACTGTCTTCTTTAACTTGTAGACCAGGTTTATTTTCATTCTCCTCTGCTTCAATTTCATCTAACCACGCCAAAAGTTGTTTTTCTTGGGCTGGTTCCATGAAAAAATCTCAAGTAGTACAATTATATCTCCGCGGTGACGTTAAAATAGCACGAGTAAAACAACAAATTCTTCCCACGGTTGTTCGCGTACTGCTTAACCGGACAAGAAATAAATACTTAGTGGTGGGATATTTATGCTTGCCGGCAATGTTTTTCCATGTACATCCCTTCTACATACTACCATTAGAGATTATACTGAAGGTTGTGGCATATTATCGTGCACGTTGCGTTTCTAGCCCATAGCGGTTCCTTAAAACATAATATAAATGGTTTAAATATGAACAATTCATACTGTCCGGAACCTATCGTAACAGGCACCTAACGTTTCCGTTCAGTATATTCGAATACAATATTTTACGGATGCCGACGACTACGGAACGAGTCGAAACCTGTTGGTACGTATAATGTAAATTAGGGGTCCGTCGTTTTCACCTCGTTTATTTAGATGTTTGATTTGGTATAGATTATTAAAAAAAATAATAATTTTCGAGGCTATTTGGTCATTTATGCATGTGTTTTCATTGTTTTGTGACAATTAATCACAGAAGTGATAAACAATTAGGACTTTTGCACGGAAGTGATACCTCTTCTTTTTTAAAAATTACTGTTTGGTTTGATATGTATGGCTTCGTTAAATGTAGTATTTTGTTTTTTAATGAAAGGTGTGATTTCATTGTATGTGATATTCATTCTATAGTATCCATAATATTTTTCATCGTCATCAATTAATTCTTTCAGTCCAGTATTCACTTTCCTTTTTTCATTGCATTGGATGTACTTCAAACCTTCTTTTTACTACAGTTTTTCTTTCTTTATCGTTAAGTAGAAGAGCAATTGCACATAATTTTTGTCGCGAAAAGCGAGATCATATCTTCACCGAAACAAACTGAAACGTTCTATGTATGAAAATGTGAACGCGCAGTCCGATTGCTGGATCCGAAACGTATGTGCCGGAAACTATATGTGCAGGATAATATGCCGCGACCTTAAATCTGAATCCCGGTTATTTGTGAATACTTTTGTAGGCTTAAAAATAATTCCAACTAAGTGCTGCGCTTACCACGCGAAGACTGACGGGTTAAGTAAATGGTCAATATTTTCAACACGCGCTACAGTTATGAAAATATTGATTAGCACTTAGATTCTAAAAGAACTATTTGTTTCATTTTAGTTTTATGTGAATGTAATAAACTTTATTTATAAGAAATATATAGAGACATTTTAATTTTTAGTTCTACCCTTATTACTACCTGATTATTTATCACAAATAATACCTTAATATTGTTTACAAACTAGAAAGTCTAATAATAGTTGTAAATTTCAGTAAATGTTCTCGTGCATTGCATTCCTATTTTGTTAACAAATTACCTCATCCACTGTTCTCTTATTGTCAATAACTGTCCGAACTCACATACAACACTTTACACCATGCAGGGAAATGAACCCTACATATGTCGTTAAATGGATTCCCTCGTCGCAGTCAATTTGTTCCCAGCTATGATCAAATCAAATAGTTTGAACGTAAATAGTTTGATACGGTGATTTTCTCAGCAATAAAAATAGAGGAAACTTAATAAATCGAATTTCACGATGTGATGTTATGTCAGAGATTATGTTTTTTTCCTTTATTTACTATCAATATAACAGACAAACTGGTTTTAATAAAAATTAAAAAGATATAACAAAAGTCACAAAAGATCATTAAGGCAATGTTTCTATAAAAATATAAAATTAAGTACTGTTTGGATTAAGTAATGCTTGTTGTCCAAATTCGGAGGAGTTCATATAATGATGAATAACATCGTTTGACTCGTAAGATGACTAAATGTGGAGGGTACGATGACGAAGTATGCCTGTTCTATTAAAGAAAGACAGTTATAAAGAAAGTAAACTAACTAAAATAAAATGCA